ATATTAATAATGGCAATAGGTAAATACACATCTCATTCTATGCTCCTATGTTTACCTTTTTCCGATAATTTGTGTTTCAAAGAAACAACAAGCCCTCGAAAAAGGCCAAAAATAAACAAATTATCGGAAAAAGGTAAACATATAACAATAAGAATTTTCAAAAAAAACAAGAAATAGAGGCATAGTTTAACTACTAATTATTCTTTGTGTAAAATTTCTTTTACATATATCTAATTTTCGAGGAGGAAATCGTCGAGAGCCGAACCTGGAATTTTGCAATTTTTATACGCAACTAGTGGCCCGCCCTCGCTTCGCTTCGGTGTAGAACTGTAGTGTAGACTAAAATGCCTCTTCATTTAATTATAAAAAAAAACTGAAAATGGTATACAATTTGCCTTTTTCATACTTCTATTGACATTACGTCATTCAATTGTTTTGTTCTCCACTAACATTTGAAATTTATGGTGTGGTATTAAAGTTCAAATTGACATTGAAGTATTATTACGAACCGTTTGTATTCCCATACAGTATAGAAAACTGTTGTTTTTGGACTTTGAGGCATTTTTTTAATTTTTCTCTGCGTAAGAACCATCCTTGTACTTCAAGGAATAATTTAAAAAAAGAAATATCGAAATCGGTTCAGCTGGTCTCGAGATTCGCGCTTAGCAACACATTCAGCGATTCATTTTTATTTTATAGATTTTCAGCGTTAACTACTGTTGTCCCTATCGCACGGTATTTGCCAATGCGTGACAGCAATAGTTTTTTCAAATACATAAATTTCTCAAATGTCTTTCAGCTCGCGTCCGCTCTTATAACGTATCTATAGGTCTCTTTGCTCCTGTTCCCTTTCGGTGCAGAGACAATTAATTACCTGCTCATTTATATAATTTAAACTATGATTAATAATGTCAATGAAGAGAATGGGATTTAGATTGGAGGGCGCTGTAGTGCTTTTCTACCGTGTTTGTAAGGTTTTACCCCTTTTAGACATGATTAAATACAAAAAAACCAACAAGAAATCACAACAACAAACAAATCCGTTTCAATACACGTTTACTTTGACGTTTTACAGATTGCTGGGTTTGATTGCCAAATTTTTTTTTTATGTTAGTTCCGTTTTTCGCCACGCCCATTCTCTTTCCGCACAGACTCTAATGGCTTAGTTTAGTAGTCTTTTATGAGAAAATAATTTTAAAGACTCTTTTTAATTTAAGTATATGGCGTGCGTTACGCTATGACCGTGATGTTATGACCAGAAGGGCTTTTGTGGGTTACGCCGTCTATAATTATAGTCTTGCTTATTAATAATTGTAACACTACCAGAGTCGCCTACTAATTTGTTCAATCTATGAATTAATATTTAACATTGCCCTTTCCGGTCAAGCAAATTCGATGTATAAAATCTTTAATCTGGCCCTGAATGCATGTAATCCGCAATCCCAGCTCTTTGGGAGCCAAAGAACTGCATAAGTGCAGCAAAATTTTTGCAAACAAAATTGCTCATAACAGAAAGACTACTGGGCCAAACTAAGTTCTTTGTTACCTGAAATAAATTTAAAACTAAAATAAAAAATGATGTGGTGTCGTGGGACACCAGGTAGGAACGAAATTGAGTATATACTATGCATTGGCGGGGTGGAGTGGTAATAGAAAGAGAAGGGATGAGAGAACGAAAAGAAAGAGGGAGAAAGAGAAAGGTATTATACACTACTCGCTTGTGTATGCGACTGTCGCGCCTGCGCACGTCTCATTTAACGGTTTTATTCCACGCACTTTTTTCTTACGGTTTTACTATCACATTTTTTTCAGTTCGGTCGCGCAGCAAAATCCCTATCCCCTCCAAGCCTGCCTTAAGGAACAAAAAATATGGGACCTAATGGCAACTATTCTGCCTCGGACAAAAAAAGACGGAGGAGAAAGAGTTTACCGTGGAAGTGAAAATGATGTGAACTTCTGAATAAGATGTGATGTTATAAACTCAATGACATCTTTATTATTAACTAGTTTAGCAGTGTGGTTTGATTGATAGGTCATGTTATTATTTTCAGTTACAACTTTATATTCTGTTAATTTCTTGGTACCGTACTGTACTGTATTAATAGAAATCTTAAAGAAGCGCAAAAATATGTATTTTGTAGATTCTAATTAGTGGATAATGAAGTTGGTCGTACAATAATTGAAGGTGTCAACTGTATTACAATACTATTTGGCTAATGAGAATTGTACCACTGGTTTTTGTCACGAATAAAATAAAATAAAGACATTCTGTAAAACGTGACAGTTGTGTTGTTTAGGTACTTTGTTTTTGACATGTTCAACGTTTGGCTTAAAAAGGAATAGAATCCATGGCCGTAAAACATATTAATTAAAAAAATAGATAAAATATAATTACGTAGATCGGGTCAGAGGCCACGTAACGTATCACATCGTCAAAGCTTCTATGAAAACTAAGCAGCGCCCCTATCGGTCGTATGAACAAACTAGCTTTTACAATACAAAATTTGGCGATTACGGTTCTTTACTTAGCCGTCAAAAATTCGTGCTTAGGCCTCTGTACACTTAGCACGAACCAATATCGAATTGACGTTTGCAAGTACGAAATGTCACTGTCAATTTTTGTATGGAAACTTGAACAGCAGCGCCACAACGGACGTAACGAGAACTAAAAATCAGTCACATTTGACAATACATTTCGCACTCGCAAACTATTCAAATTCGATATTGGTTCATGCTAGGGGTACTGAAATCCCGGCGTAATCGGTAAACAAAAGAATTGATCGATCCTCATCCTTTTTTAAATTATTTCCAGTTTCTAACCACTGATTTCAGCTGTACCACTGAACCGAATTTGACGTTTCAAATACTCATTTAACGCGGAATTTAATCCTTTTTGGTTGTAATTTATATTGAACAAAAATTTCCGCCGTAGATACCGTTTCCGAGCTACAAGCAAAACCCGGAAAAAAGAGCAAACAATTCGCTGGGCGCATTTAGTTATTTGGCTCTCAAAAGTTATTCTCACCTGCTGGGATTGCGCAAATTCGTATAGCATGCATTTAGGATCAAATTAAGGTATAAATAATAATAATAATAACCATTTATTTCAGGCGTAGTACCCATATTACATACAGAAATAGAAAAAAATGATAATCAAATTAAATAATTACAATAAAAAAAATCATAAACCAATAATCAATCAAATAAAATAATATCAAAAGCAAATAAAAATTAAGTCAAATAAAATAAAATCGATAACAGCAGGCAAGGATGTCAAATATCATTTGACGACCTCCGTGGCCGAGTGGTTTGTACGCCGGGTTTCATGGTGTCGCCGACTCGAGGGTTCAAATCCCGGTGGGGGCAGATGTTTCTGTGATGAATACGAGCATTTGTACTCCAGTCATGGATGTTAATATGTATTTCTATATAAATATATTTATATATGTACTGTATATGTATTCTATCCGTTACCCTAGCATCCCATAACACAAGCCTTACGGTGCTTACTTTGGGCTAGGCTAAATTGGTGTGAGTGTTGGAAATATTTATTTATTTATTATTTATTTCTTATCACAAATGTCATATTTACAGCAGTCATATACAGCGCTAATTATTAAATTATAACATTTTCTAATGCGATCCATAAAGGAAGCGGCTCCTTTTCTCATTACAGCATGGAAATCATCAACCCCGTTCTCCGCAAACATGCCCGACACACTACACCGCCACGGCAATTTAAGCATGGCTCTAAAAGATGGAAAAGAAAAGTTAATTCTTCGACACATTCTTGTTCGCTTGGCCTATTTATTTCACTGTTATCTTTCCTTTGCGCGTTCTAAACACCGCCCGCCTGAAAACTTGTCGAAAAGCTCCCGAGTGCTCAGGGCGCATGCTTCGAAATTCAAAAGTTTCAGATGCCGTCCCCCTTTCCTGTCCTTCTAGTTTAGTTTCAGTACCGATTCGTATAGCGGGGTGGGTGCACGTTCGTCGTCGAAAAGTTTTGACGTTATGTTCGCGAGAGGTATGTTACGTTAAAGTGACCTTTTTCTTCGCACGTTGCGTCATTGTTGTTTGAGAAAATGTGTTTATTGAATATTTTGTTTACATAAAACTTAGTCATACTTAAATCGGAAAGTTTTGATGGAGACTTCCTTTTTTTATATGTCATAACCATGCTTTTATATCATTTTACTAGGATGATCGTATGTAAAAATATTATATTACTAAAAACTATAAAAAAGCTTTATATTATTGGGCTGTAAATTGTTAAAAAAAACTCGATATATTTTAGGGATGATGACTAATTTTTTTTTCTTCGTTTATCAGGTAGATTATCAAAAAGTATTGGACACTTATTTTTTCTTTTTATAGCAGAGATATATTGATTTGAAAAGTCGCATGACGTCACGTTTGAGTAGACTTATAAGTGAAAATTCACTCGAAAGTGACGTCACGAGCCCCTACTTCCAAACTTTGACGCGCTATAACTTTGTCATTTTTTGGTTGATTGCCCAAAGAAAAAATACGTGTCCATTATTTTTGGATCATCTAACTGACGGACTAAATAGAATTTCGTTTACTGTACCCCGTCATCATCCCTGTCGAAGTGAAAATTAATTGATCTTAATCAACTGTATTGTCTTTATATCTATTGACGGGATTGTTACCATGTACCTTGTTTTTTATGAGTCTCCGATATTTCGGCATTGTTGCAAGCGTTCATGATCACGGATTAATATCGGAGACTCATACAGCCTTATTAATAAACAAGGAATAAGCATAGACCAGTTACGCCGTGTTTTTTTAAATGTCACTCAAATTACAATTGTCATTCAATGAACAGAGACAAAATTTGGAGTAGCTAATCCAAGCGCCAAAGTCTTCGTTTATTAATAAGGGGAATAAAAAACAAGGTACATGGTAACAATGCCTTTAATAGCTATTATGTTAGTGACCATGAAAGTTTAAAACAATATGTTGTATTGTCTTTGTTTCAGTTGTAACGTTGGTGCTACTACTCGCCTACATTTATAATGTATCTAGTTTCGGTAAGTATAAAATTCTATCTATACTATCTATACTAATATTTTAAAGAAGAAAGGTTTGTATGTAAGTATCATCATCATCATCATTAGCCTATTAATGTCCCCACTGCTGGGGCACAGGCCTTCCTTATGGATGGAACAGGGAGATTGGGCCATGACCCACCACGCGGGCCCAGTGCGGATTGGTGGGTGCTAACGACTGCAGATGCAGCCGGGACCAACGGCTTAACGTGCCTTCCGAAGCACGGAGGAGCTTGAGATAGTAAATTTTTGGTCACCCATCCAATGACCGACCACTGCGAAAGTTGCTTAACTTCAACGTTTGCAGCCGAACGCGCTAACCACTTTCGCCATCGAGCTCCTCGTATGTTAGTATGTTTGTAACGAATTGGCTCAAAAAGTACTGGACCGATTTTAAAAACTCTTTTGACCAATTGAATGTTACATTATCACTGATTAATATAGACTATAGCGTATTTTCAAAAAAGTTTGGGTTCAAATCGGAACAGCAGAGCAATGTTGCATTCGGTACAACGGATCCTAAACTACGCAATCAATTTTTTACTTGGAATGGAAGGTTTATAATTATTATGAAAAAAGTCATTGTGTATAATACAAGCCTTTGAACAAAAACTATAGTCTACATTACAGCTCTACACCGAAGCAAAGCGTGGGCGGGCCACTAGTTCGATGTATTTATGATCCGCTTTATAGTGCCCCATTTTCGTAGTAATTATTAGATTGTGACCAATGATTAATGTTTAATAACTATCTAATGAATAAGAAATTATACCTAGTCAGGTCATAAATTTTGTCACATGTTTAATATAAAATAATTGAAAGAATATTATTCATTATGTAACCATTTATATACCAAAATGAACTTAACAAAACATAGATTCTTATGATAATAAAGTTTATTCAAAATGACCTCCGTGATTTTGAATACAGGCCTTCAATCTGCGCGGCCAGTCGTCTATCGCAGCACGAACGAGGTCCATGTCAATATCGGCAGCTGCCTTAATCAAGGATGTCTTGAGTGACTCCAAATTGGGATGAGGCTTTGAGCACGCCTTTTCCTCCAAGTGCTGCCATATCTTGTAATCTAACGGACTCAAATCTGGACTGGAGGAGGGCCAGTCTTCGTGCCGGATGAAGTCGATTTCACGCGCCGCCAGCCAGTCTTGTGTGCTCTTCGCTCTATGAGCTGGCGCCGAATCTTGTTGGAATACCCAGTGCCTGTTATTGAGCATGGTATGAGAAACAGGTTCCACAAGATTCGTCAGGACTGTATTTTGATACACAACTGCATTCGTTTTTACACCTTTCTTACAAAAATGTACCTCTGTTAAGCCCCAATAAGAAACTCTCAAGCATACCATGAGCGAGGATGGAAAATGACCTCGTTGGACACGCGGAATACAGTTGCTCGCTTCTTCACTGCTGTGTGCGTACACCTTATCATTTTGTTTGTTGTAGCTCTCTTCTACGGTAAAATTTTTTTCATCCGAAAAAAGAATTTCCCGATATTTTTTTCCCGCGTACCGCTTCAACAAAGCGCGGTATCTCTTCAATCTCAGGTCCATTAGACGAGCATTCAAACGATGTCCTGTTTTTCTTCGATATGCTCGAAGCCCTAAGTCTTCATTTAACACCCTATTCACCGTGGTTCTGCTTAACCCCATCTGAAGGGCCAACAGTTTCTGCTTACGTTTGGGATTTCTTTGAATTCGCGCCTTCACAGCTTTTATCACTGCTGGAGTCCTAACAGACCGAGGGCGACCACTTCTTGACCTATCATCTACACTAGAGTCTTCATTGTATCGTTTGATAGTACGATAAACGAATCTTTTGGTTATATTCAAATTTTTCAGTATGTCAAAAAATTGAATTGGCGCGTAACCGCAACGATGGAACGCAATAACTGCAACACGGTCTTCTTTAAGCGTCCACTCCATATTAAAAATGAGTTAATTCTAAAAAGTATACATTTTTATTTTCATGAACAATTTGAAATTCGAATTCAATAAACTTTTTTGTGGCCAGCATTCTAAAAGAAAAGTTTTTACTGTGTGACAATACTTATGACCTGACTGTGTATACTTAATATCAATTTGTCGGCACTAGTTAAGTTTTGTTACTGTTATATCTATACAAGTATAAATTAATCTCATTTTCCAATAGCCATTTCATTTCGAATGTGTTACAAATTCAAATATTGGTACCTACCCTTAATCCTTGAGTGACATCAAAGCATAGCAGCAGTGCCCGAATATGTCCCGAAGTGTTTAATCAAATAAAAAATTGGCCAAGCTTGAATTTTCTCGGTATAGATGGTTCCGTTCATGATTTTTCTCTTGTACCTTAGCATTTAGCTTCTAGCTAGCATTTTTTGAAGTGATAACTTCTCATGGGAGTGTAAAGCTTAAGGTTGTGATGTTTTCAATAAAGTATGGTGTATTTTATTGTATTGTGAATCGCTTCGTTACGTAACGCGTTACGGCGCCAGTCTGGCTTCCCTTCCTCTCACGCATACGGCAACGGTAGCCAGGCTCCTCCTCTCTCACTCTAACCTGCAGCGCCGTTTAGATTAGTTTAAGTTATCACTTCTAGCGTGCGTTCCGAGACGCACACGATTTTTTTATTTATAACTAGTGGTCCGCCCTCGCTTCGCTTCGGTGTAGAGCTGTAGTGTAGAATTCGAATTCTTCTCACCTTTTAAACCTTCCCTAGATCTCCACGAACATTTCAAGACCAAGATAAGATAAATTCGTTCAGCGGTTTCACGAGTTTTAGCGAGACTAATTCACACACTTAATACAAGAAACAAAAATAAACTAACTTTACCCGCTACTAGGTTTCAGAAAATTAATAATTCATTTAAAGTTCTTTGTGTTCGCTTATACAATAAAGTCCCAAGCAATATCCAAGAGTTAACCATAAATAAATTTAAAGATAGTATAAAAAAGCACTTATTAAAAAAGCTTATTATGAAGCGTCTGATTATATTACAGACAAAAATGCTTGGGTTAGAACTGTTCCAATCATTCCAATAGGTTTTCTATATTAAATAAATCATAATTGTATTGACGTTGTAACAACATAATGATTTGTAAATGTTGTTACATTAGACTTTTAATGTTATAGAGTTTTTTTCGCTCGTTTTTCTCCGCAGCTATAAAATATGTCCATAACGAGTGGTAGGGAAAAAAAATTTTGGACGATTCAAAAGAGTTGTACTATACATCCAATTTGAATAAAGATATATTGGTTTCTGATTTCTGGCTATCGAACAGCAATTTTGATTTTTATATATATAGGCTTAGTCACGTCTCTCCTGAAAGGAAATTATGTTTATTGACACACTTACATAAGAAATCTGAGATGAAAAAAGCAGAAAAGAAAAGACAGAGATTGTTGAATACACATCATATTTTAACTAGCGACCGGCTACGACTTCGTTTGCCGTAACTTATGTTTTATTGAGAATTCCATAGGAACCCTAAATTTTTCCGGGATAACAAGTATTCAATCACGTAAAACGGCTAAATGGATTAAGATGGAATTTAGCACTCATATAGCTTATAACCTGGATTAAGACATATAATATTTTTTGTCCCGAAAACATATTAGGTTCCAGAGGGATTAAAAAAAACTAAAGGTAACGCGGGTGACGACGGCAACTAGTATTTCTATCGAAATATACTTATTAATGTATCAAATATGGATATATTTAAAAACCTGGATTGAGCTACATATGTCTCAAAAACATAATGCGTAAATATCGTAAACTACTTGTATGCGTACCAAATTTCATCCAAATCCGTTCAGTAGGTTTTTGCGTGATTGAATAACAAACATACAAACACATCAGTGTCCCTCTAATATTGAAAATGTGAAAGATTGACGTTAGAATTTTTGAGCCGAGAAAGGCTCAAAATTTCTTCACACTTTTTGAAATTCATGAATAAATAATTCACAGTAATAATAATCATCTAAAGAACCTTATATTCATAATGGGCTAAATACATAACGAGAAGTGACAGACCACCAAATGTGCACCAATTTGATACTGATTGGATCAAAGTAAGTTAAATTGACTCGACGTTGTTAGTTATTTAATATTTTTCAAATCTAATATCCGTGTTAGACCTTTTAAAAGAACTCTTAAAAATCCAAAAAGCGTGCATTTTAAATTAAGTAATCGATTTGTTTCTTAGGTTTTTACGCACACCACTCATTAAATAAAACAAGTTTCAACAGTATAGATGCACTGTACCCTTAGCATGAACCAATATCGAATTCGTATCGAATGTGAGTACGAAATGTCAATGTAAAATTTTGTATGGTAACTTGAACTGCAGCGTCACAAAGTACGTAACTAGAACTAAAAATCAGTACACATTTGACAATGACATTTCGTACTCGCATTCGATTCGAATTCGATATTGGTTCGTGCTAGGGGTACTGATTTATTTATTTATTGACGACGACGCATCCTTTTCAGGAAACGTCAATAAATAAATAAATCTTTGCATCTATACTTTGAAACTAGTTTTATTTAATAAATCGATCTTTTATGTTGGTTAATTCTTCAGAAAGGGCAACAACATTCTACAGCGGATCCCCAATATCATGCCAACCATTTTACGTTACGACTCCAATTCACGTTTATGCTAAACCGTCTGTTTATAAATCGAAACGATTTTTGCGTCGCCCCTCTCGAACATTTACGGGGTGATTTCAGTAAGAGTATGTGTAGAATTTTCTTGAAATATCGTGTAATGTTTACCGATTAAATTAACTGCTCTGAAAGAAGCTGCGAAACATTTGATATTTAATTATTAACTTGTTATTTTTATTTGGTTATTAATGTTGTGATTGGACAAGAAATAAAAAAATTAAACTGCTCGAGAGGTCCCGGGTTCGAGCCCCGATGAATACGAGCATTTGTACTCTAGTCATGGATGTTTAATATGTATTTCTTTATAAATATGCTTATA